ATCTATCTATCTATCTATCATTAGGATTGTCGGGCTCATTAGTAGTTTCACCAATCCGCCTTTAGGTGGCGCTGTGTTATTTTTTCCAGATTTGTGTCTGTATGCGCAGATTCGAACATTATTTTTCAACTGTAAAAAAAAAAAAAGTAACCACAAAAAAAAATGTTAGTAATTAATACAGCCAAAAAAAAAATCCCATTATTATTTCTACTACATTCTGAGTTTTGTACATCGATGTAGTGTTAAGTTTATTTTTTCCCCCCGTAAAACGAAGGAGAGGAAAGTGCCGGTCCGAAACCGAAGCCTGCGTTCGCAAACACTGATGGAGAACAGGCGAGGCTTTCAGGTTGGTTACGCGATGGCGGCTCTCTCAACAATATAGGGATTTTAAAGCGAAAACAATGGCTTTAACCTTCCGGAGAGTCGCGTTACCGTCTCGACTAACCACCGGAATGATGTCTGCATCGTTTTAGCTCGTCAGATTTGCCTAACGACGGCCTTAGAGACGTCCCTTCGTCTGTTAGGGACTCAGTGTTTTTCTTGTTCGCCTCCCGGGCCTGAAGTAGCGGCGGGGTTGCTACTCTCGGATGAGCGGGCTGTGAGGCTTCAAAAGAGGTGGGGGGGATCTTAATTTAGACGATAAACAAGTCGACTGAGGTGCACAAGGCGAATGCGAGGGATAAATCTTTACAAATGAGCGCTGAAGGACGCAAAAAGACGCAGAGTTTGACTCCCTAACTTGGTGTTTTTTTTTTTTTTTTTCCTCCTCGCTGCTTTTTAGCATTAGCGTCAACTTGCCGTAGCCACCGCGAGAAGGCAAAGTAAACCAACATCGGTTATCCAACGCAAGGTAAAGTCCTCCTCTTCTCGTGTGGAGGAGTTTGAGCAGCCGGGATTTAAAACCTCCCTCTTTTGCGTTTAAGAAAAAACCCCGCAGTTTTCTGTGCAGATTGTCGCTGCAGTTAGCGGGTTGCTAGTGACGCAACGCTGCTCATTGTTTTGACAGCACGCAGCATCTTTTTTTTTAAAATCGATGTTTGAATTAAAAGCTTCCCGGTTATTAACCTGCTTTATTCACGTTTCCTCCGCCTTTTTAAATGCACTATTAACCGGGGAAAGTTGAGTGTTTTTTTTATTTATTTTGGTGGTGAACTGATGTGACGCAGCTCATCGTTACTTGTCACTGTAATTATTATTACTGCATTTGTTTCAGATCGTTGTGGCTTTATTTATTTGCACAGTTAATTTAATGACGTTTCGCTTTTTGGTTGGGTTTTTTTTTGTGTGTGTGTGTGTGTGTGTTTCTTTTTTTTTTGTCCCCTCCCCTCAAACTGTGTCTGAAATCAGTGTTTTCCTTGTGATATTCAGTTGTAGGATGGATCCAGACGGTGGGGCAGATTCACAAAAGGCTGTCAGTCTGCAGTGGAAGAGCTACAAACTCGTCCAGGACCCAACTATCCGGAGGGTCACACAGAAAATCTACAGATACGATGGAGTTCATTTCAGTGTGCCGGTGAGTTGTTGTTGTTGTTGTTACCTCTATGATGTGTGTTTGTGTGTTTGAACTGCGACTACAGCTGGAGGAACGGATTAAATCCTCATTTGAACGGTTGTTTTAAAACGCTGCGAAAAAATAAAAGGTTGAATGGTGAAATTGAGAGCTAAACGACGGATGTTATAGCTGCTAAGGACCCAATTCACCCGCCACTAATACGTATAAAGTGTGTGATCATTTTCCCGTAACGTCCCGTATGTGAAGCCCTACATATCGTGTCTTCTGTAGCTGGTTTTTAAGAAAACATTGGATAAAAATTGCTTTTCTGTTTGTATTTTGTGATTATTATTAGTTTTATTACAGATTTTCTTTTAGGCCCTATCGCCCAGCTCTAACTGTGACCTGTACACATTTTTCCAGGACTCTGGTTTTCCTCCTGTGGGCGAACTGCGGGACCCAAGGCCCCGGAGACTGTGGTCCAGGTATACAGAACTGTCCATGCCAGTGCCGAAGTTTAAGGTGAGAATAGCTGCTCGACATCAATTCCACGCAGCCGCTTCGTCTATTTGAATTTAAACTATTATTCCCTGGTTTTTCTTCACAGCTTGATGAGTTCTATGTGGGTCCCATTCCCCTCAAGGAGGTGACCTTTGCTAGACTCAATGACAACATCAAGGAGCCCTTCTTGGCAGAAATGTGTGCCAAGTTTGGCGAGGTGGAGGAGATGGAGATCCTTTTTCACCCCAAGACCAGGAAGCACTTGGGTCTGGCCAGGGTGTTATTCACTAGCACCAGAGGAGCCAAAGACACAGTCAAGCATCTGCACAATACTTCTGTCATGGGTAACATCATTCATGCTCAACTGGATATAAAAGGTGAGCTAAAACACCTAATCTTATCTTTAAAGTGTGAGGTGGTTATAAAACTTGAAGTCGCAGTGACAAATAATAAGCCAGTAACACGTTTGTGTAGTGCGCATTGAACTACAGAGTGCTTATCTCTCGAAACCGTCGCTTTAATAATTGAAAAACCTACATTTTTCCTCTCAGTCTGGATCTTTACACACACAGTAATACACAGTAATACACTTTGTGGAGCAAAATCATGTAACATACGTGCCAGCATTTTATTGTGTTTATTACTATTAGAAAATACTGAAGATGTTTAAAAAAAAACGTATCATGCAAGCCCTCTTTATTTGCACCATTTATTCAAATTTGTACCAATCGTGAGTCGCTTGTTCCTCGCGCAAGCTTCCCACAAACTTAAACTGAAAATCTGTTATGTCCTGCTCACCAGCAAATGGACCAATAAGCAAATGGGACAAAAACAACCCATACATTAGCTGGTGGAGGCAGTTAAACCTAATGGAGTTTGTCTTGAAAACCTCATTATAAGTAGATGCAATTTATGTCTGTGCTGAGCTCAGTTCACAACCTGTATTTATTTTTCTGTGGCTTATGTGTGTTTTTTTTTTTCCCCAGGCCAGCAGAGGCAGAAGTATTATGACCTAATCGTAAATGGGTCCTACACTCCTCAGACAGTGCCCCTCGGAGGCAAGGCTTTGACAGACAGGGTCCAGCCTCAGGCCCCAACACAGCCACAGCCACAGCCACAGCCTGACACGGTATTGTCTCTTCGGTTATCAAAGGATCACCTACAGTTGATTTGTGAATGGAAATATTAAGGAGACTTTGAGTTACCCGCACACATCCTAAATCAAATCAAGCGTAATAATAGAGTGAGCCACGTATACTTGCTTAATTTCTAAACTCTTATTATACCTCTTTTTCACAGTCAACAGAAATGAAGCGGAGGATCTCCAGTGAGTTTGCAGTTTTGGCAGCAGGGGTCCAGGCCCTCACAACAGGAAGCATCACTCCTGGCTCTGCAGATACTGGCTTCAGTGATCAGCGTCTGGACACAACCCCCTCTTCCATGGCAGGCTCCTCTGCATCGTCTCAGGGCGGAGGAACGCCTTACAGCTCCAGATCTGGGACTCCTTTCTCACAAGACGCGGGTTACACCGGCAACAGGTTAGTTGTCGATGTTTCACGTGAATGTTTTTGCCTTGGTGCTGTTGTTATCATAAGGCAAATTCCTGTCCTTCAGTCAAAGCTGAAACACACAACTTCTTTATTAATCAGTGTTATATTAATAACTCCCAATAATAATTATACTAATGTGAAAATGTAGCTATAACTTTCCATAAATTATCTGCGAATTTGTACACAACTCTGATAATCCTTTTGTTGCTCCCAGGTTCGTTGCATAGACTGTATGTTTGGACAGTGCACTAATGTTTGCCACCGTTACATTACAGTGCAAATATTTGGACATTATTATGTTCTGCAAAGAACATTGTGTTCGTACGACTCTGTTAGATAACATAAATTGCTAAAATAACATGCATTTTTTGGGGTTTATGCTTTTGATAATTCAGCTCTACTGTGGAGTGGAGGCATAATGAATGAGTGGTTGTCAATCTTGCTTGGGTCCACAAAATAATAATTTAAAAATCTACCTCATTTGTGTCTTGCAGGCATACTGGCTACAACGCTGGCACTTTAGGCAGCGGCTACCCTCCCCAGGACATGCTACCTTCCTCCTCCTCATCTTCTGCGGTCTCATCTACTGTCGGAGGATACAAAGTGTCTCGCTACTCTGAGGATGCACAGGAACCTTCAGTGTATCATCGAGGTCGCCCTATGTACCCCCCAAACACGTCATACCGTCCCAACGAGCCGCCGTGCTACCCCCCGTACCCCAATGTTGGAGGGCCTGGACCACACATCGGGCACCACTCCTCAATGCCTCCGCCACCTCTTGCCACCCAATATGATCAGCCCCCAATGTCAGACAGGGACCGGGACCGCGATAGAGACTCAGGGGGCCGCTACGGGGCGGGGGGGATTGGCGCCAGGAGGTCATCTTACCACCACCAGCAAGACACAAACTCTTCCTCAAAGTACCATTCCCATCACTCCCATCACCACTCGGAACGCAGGGACGACAGGGGGTACCGGCGAGACAGCCTGGGCTCCCGATCTGGTGACCACAGCCACCAGAGACACCGCAACCACCACCATTCTCACAACCACCATGGCAGCAGCAGCCGCAGAAGGAGCAGCCATGACCGGGACAGGGACCGAGACAGAGACCGAGACAGGGACAGTGACTACTCCAACAGCTCTGACCCCAGATACAATTCCAACTCTTACCGCTCTTCCTCTAACAGCATGTCTCCTCCCCCCTCATCTTACTCCGCATACTCCTCCTCCAAAGAGCCTGCCCCAGCCCCTCCTCAGGGATTAGATGTTTCTACCCGTCTAGGGGGCACAAGCCTCGCAGAGAGGGGCTCTCTGCCTTCGGTAGGCGCTGACAAAGATTACCATGCTGGTCACCACAGCGCTCTGCCTCCACCTCCCCCACCGCCACCTCCTCTCCCGCCAGCCTCAGTCATCGCAGCAGCTGTAGCTGAGACACTGGGAACACTGGACTTCAACCAGGACAGTCCAGCACGCGAAGAGCAATGGACAAAACCCAAACGCCGTCCCAGCACCCCACCCGCACCACCAAAGACGCCCCCGCCTTCCTCTCCACCCCACCCCACCATTGCCTCCTCCTCGACCTCCCCTTCTTCTACCTCCCTCCCCCACCATCTGTCTTCCTCCCCTCCAGTCACCGCCCCTCAACCGTGACTCTTCCTCGCCCAGAGCAGATTCCACCACATGAGACCGTTTACCGTTCGTTCACACACAGCGAAGCCTTGACTCCTCGTATTGAATGCTCCTGAAAGAACAGAAGCCAAGTTTTCTTTCCTGGCCTCTGATGAGGAAGATGAGGACACGATAGGAAAGAAGATAAGCAGAGGGCATACGCTGGGAGATGGGAGGAGAACGAGAGAGGTGGGTCAGGCGGACGTAACGGGGGAGCACACAAGTGGAATCAGGTAGGGACACAGGGGAGACACGGACCAACAGGAGAAAAGGAAAGAGCAGAGATGGCACAGAGAAGGAAACGGGGAAAGGGGGAGAATGGTCGGAAGAGTCCCACTGTACGTACAGCAACAACCATCCTCTTCCAATACTCCCACACCATCCTGCCCCCAGAGGAGCCCCCAGCCCCAGGTTGGCCTCACTGGGGCTGGAGCTTTGGCATGGAGAATCTTTACAGGCCGTGGTCACTAAACAAGGAGCAGAACGAGACACACACACCACCTTAACAATGGAGCAGAGTCATGGAAGAGTCAGGAGCTGGTACCAAAAAGCTCAGGGTTCAGACTATTGGTCCCAACTGCAGTTCTGTTAGTGCAGATTTGAAGTAGCGTATAGGCAGATTTTTGTTGTTTTAAGGGTGGGTAGCTTGGTGTAAAGCATCTAAAATACAACAAACTGTAGATTGTTTCTGTAGTGTTAAATATGCAAAGACATTTCAGCAACAAGGGTTTTTCCAATTAATGCGCCACCAATGCACGCCCAACACAAATAACATTACATCGCAGTACCATATCAGTTCTACAAAGAGTTTTCGAAAAACAAAGGGTTTCGGAAAGAAGAAAGAAAAAAATGACTCATCAATACACAGAAAAAACACGAAAACATCCTTAGATCAACTGATTACTATATGTAAGATTTGTTCTTTATGAATTTGACTGTTATTTGTTGGTTTTTGAAATATCACAATACAATTTAAAAGTTTTTTTAAAATATCTTTGCACCCCTACTTTAGTAGTGATCACCGTAGATGTACTTAAAACAGGCAGTTTCCAGACTTAAAACATAAGCTTTTGTTTTTTCAGCTTCATTTCGGGGGAAGACATGGAGATCTCAGACGAGGAGGAGTGAGGAGACTGCCATAACAACGGTGACCACCCACCAGCCCTCAGTCACCTTCAGGTTCCTCACCCTCTTCATCCCAGGCGCCATGCCTCCCAAACAACAGACCCCTCTTCTTCACCCCCACCCATCTCGACTCTGCACAGCACTCTTGGCACCTCCATGCACCCTCCAATACCTTCCTACCCTCCTCATTTGCCTCCTCCACCTCCCCCTGGTTACTCCTGCAGCCGCCTCCCCCCGGGATCCCTCCCTTGCCCCACATGGAACTGCACCCCGAGTATCCTCCTTCCCATGCCCCACCACATGTAATGACTATGCCACCTCTATGGAGCTGTGAACCAGTAAAGCGGTGGGCTCCCATGTCCTTCCAAATCAGACCCACATCTAATCGTCTACACCAGCTGCGCTTGTCGTCCGCCAACGGCACCCGGCCCGGGTGAGGCAGACAACTGCAGATTACGCCTCTACCATCTCCACTCCATGCGCGCACCCCAGCACAGCTCCTACCATCTCCACTCCATGCCGCCACCCCACACACACCACCCCTACATGGACCAAGAGGGGAACGGGGCGGGCTCTCATTATGACCAGGACCACCGCTACATGCCCCCCCACATGCCCTACCCTTACCCCGACCCGCACGGCACTCAGATCCCACCCCCTCCACACCACGGCATCCCGCCTCCCCATACTGGCTGGCCCCCACACGTCTTACCGCCACACTACCCCTCTTACATGCCCCCGCCTGGCTATGGCACCATGCTGCCCGGGGATGGGGACGAGTACAGGGCTCCAGGGGAGGAGATGCCCATGCTTGCAGAAAATCCGCATGAAGCCACGGTGCAGATGGTCCTGGCCACTCTGATCCAGGAAATGAAAAACATCATGCAGAGGGACCTGAACCGCAAAATGGTGGAGAACGTTGCCTTTGCAACTTTTGACGAGTGGTGGGAGAGGAAAGAGACCAAGGCCAAGGTAAGGACGATTAACCGCAACAATATTGACATTGTCTTAGTTTCTAAGCTTGCTATTTTAGTTTTTCTGTCAGGGGTTCTGCTTTTGTCCTTTGTTCTTGGCACTTTTTGGGGGGTTTATTTTATTTAACGTTTGACTGAGTCTCTTCAAAAATGTCCTTTGCTTCAACCTGATTCTGTGTTCAGTTTAAAAGCTTACCTTACATCATCCCAGGGCCTTGTATCCAAGAAGGGGACGTTTTGCTTTCCAAAGCTGTCACAACTTTTACTTTTTGAATTTGCCTTCCTCATTCTCACTGGCCGGGAGATGCTGCTGGCTATATTGATCAGGGATCGTTGTTATACTGTGAAACGGAAAAGGGAATTAAAAACAAACTGCAATTTGTAAATGTTTTTCTCCTCTAGCCCTTCCAGACAATGGTTAGGGGGGTGTCTGCCTTACGGGATGAGGAGAAAAAAGAAGAAAAGGTCAACCGTCCTCGGGAGCCTCTCATGTCTCTTGTTGATTGGGCAAAGAGTGGTGGCGTGGAAGGATTTTCTCTCCGAGGAGCGCTACGGTTGCCTTCCTTTAAGGTAAAAACACACTGTGGCAGATCTTTAGGGCCTTTATCTCCATATTTGACAGCTCACACTGTGATTTGATAAATTAAAACCTCTGATCACATACACACACTGGGAAGTGTCCGTTTTACAGTTGACAAATAAATGTATCATCATCATCATTGCATGGCCTCAATTTAAACTATTGTTTTTTATTTTTCATTTTAAAAGAAGATGGTCTCTAACAGTACTGGTCCCAGGTTCAAATTATAGATATTTTTAGTCGTAATTACACTTACAGAACTCCGGTATAATTAATCACATATAAACATAGATATGATGATATTTGTCAAGTACAAAAATATGAAAAAATGCTGTAATGTTTCGTATTTTGGCAGATTTTAAGTTCTAAGTTTATAGTAGTTGTCAAAAAAAAAAACATTCTTGTCTTGTGTTTCATTGTTTTCTAAAAAATGTCGTTGATGTCTGATTGTTCAGGTAAAGAGGAAAGGACCTCAGGAATTTGAAGAGGGAGACATGAAAAGGCCGCGACCGTCAACCCCACCAGACGAGGATGATGAAGGTTTGCTGACAAGCTGATGTTGAAAAGTTTAGAAGGAGGGGTTGTATTAATAGGCCTCACTGCATTTAACTCTTAAACTCTTTTTTTTTTTTTCAAGCTGCTGAAGGGAGAAGGCCAGAGGCAGACAGGCATGGAGCAGAAAGGGACAACAAGAGGAGGAAAAAGAAGCCAAGAACTCGTAAACCTTGGGAGCTTGGCAGTGAGGGAGAGGAAACATCGGATGGATCCTCAACTGAAAAGGTGTGTGGGTTTTTAATTGTCTTTTTTTTGTTTGTTTGCTTTCAAAGCAGGACATACAGTACAAGTTTTTTTTTATATATCAAATGTATCCCTCTAATAGCAGTCTGAGTACTATATGCAATAAATATGAATGGTTGATTCATATGTAATGCACGTAGCTGGATTTTTTCATTTGCTTGGTGTTAACAAGTTTGATAAAAAATCATGCTCTTACTCTTACCAAATGCTAGATGGCAGCATTTCACTGTGATCTTTAAGTGTTGTAATTCAATTTTTTTTTTATTTGTAGGAGGATGAGGAGGAAAGTGAAAAGGAGTCTGATGGTAAATCACCTGTAATCTTATCACTATATATCTTTATTTCTGTGTTTACATTCAGATAAGGCAGTAATTACACCATTTTTTTTGTTTTGTTTTTGTAGATGATGCCCTTAGTGTGGACAGTGATGATGAAAGCCTCTCCTCGTCCTCTGAGGGTTCTTCCTCTTCGGCATCTTCATCCTCATCTTCGTCTGAAGATGAGGATGAAGAGGAAGGAGAGAGGGCTGATAGTGACGGGCCAGACAGCATGGACGAGTCAACAATGGACAGCACAACTGAGAAGGAGGATGAGAGGTATGTTTTGAATTCTGTGTTTAGTCCATGTTATCTTTGAACATTGCTAAAGTAGATCTGTTTTCCGAACGCATTTAGTCAGTTTTACATAATTAAATGTGCTTTTCATCGTGTCTTTCTTCTGTTTGTCTCAGGCAAAATAACGCAGCTGCTGTTCCAAAGACAGAAGTCAAAACAGGTTAGTCAGAAGTCCACATTATTAACACATCATGTCAACAAATGCAAAAAGACATATAAAGCCTTTAAAGGAAGACCTTGATGTAATTTTGAAGTTCGCATGGAATTTATTTTCACTCTCTGGGCTGTTGCTACAGCTGCTTGGAACAGCTGTGTGCATTGTGTTCAGTTTGGATCAGTCTTTCATTCAAATTCTTTTCTCAGGTGAATTCAAGGACAGCAAGGCAGATACAACGCCAGCAACTACCAAGCGTCCTCCATCCCCCCCATACCCACGTCCTTCGTCCCCTATTGTTCTTGTGCCACCTCTCAAGAAACGCAGGAAGACTGTCTCGTTCTCCACAGGCGAGAACGATAGCAAAACGCAGCTGCCACCTGCCCCGCTATCTCCATCTCCCTCACAAGTGGCGGGTGAATCACTCCTCCTCTCCCCCGGCAGGCCTACAGACTCCCCTGTCACTGCTGCCCCATCTCCCTCAGCTCGTCCCACTCAGGGCATCCAACTGCTTCCCTTTGCCTCCAAACCAGGTGAAGGCAATGCCCTCATCGTGCCCCCATCTGGACGAACCCAAGATTCTGATGAGCCCAAAAAGGGACCACCTGTTTCTCCTCAGACCACCCCTGTCAAATCCCCTGGAAAACGGGGTACAGGAAAAGACTCCCCCAAATCTCCTGCCCCTCCTGTTATGGTGTGCCGCACTGTGCAGAACCTGCCATTGGACCACGCCTCTATGTGCAGGATGGCCTTTGAGGAGGCCCCTCCTCCACCTCCCGTCAACAAACGGTCCCGAGGCAGGCCTCGGACAACCAGCCTGTCAGCTTCTTCCTGTCACTCACTCAGAGAGGAAGATGATGAGGAAGAAACTGGTCAGAGGTTGAGACTCAGAGAGCAGCTGGGGGCATCGAGCCTCCTCCAGCTGGCTTCCGCCTCGACCACTGACCTATCTGTGTTGGCTGATGTAGCCCTGAAAATGGACCCTGATGCTGGGGACTCAGAGGAGACAGAGACATCTGATGAGGCTGAGGAGCAGAAGATGGAAGAGGATCTCTTCTCCCCAGAGTCACTGGCCCTGGTTATTAGTGCAGAGGGTGTAATTGTCCTTTTGGAGCACAACTACTGCAAACCCCCTGTTGTCCCAGTAGCACCCAGTACCAAAAGGACTTCCAAACAAGACTCCTCTGTCTTGCTCCCAGCAGACCTCAACACTATTTCTGGGGTGCTCGAAGCACCAGAGGAGGTCATTGGAGAGGCGCTACCATCCAGGGGAGATCCAGGCGAATACTTAAATGCTATGGGAGTGCTTTGTGACTCTGAGGATGTGGGCCAGGCGGCAGCTCTACCTCCATCATCAAAGAAGATCCTGGTTGGCAAGGGTCTCGAACTTGAAATGGACAAGAGCAAAAAGCGGAGAAGAAAAGACAAAGAAAACCTTGAGGTTCATCACACAAAAAAACAGAAGGAGCAGCCAGGCAAAAAACAGGGGAAACGGAAACTAGAGGTGCGTAGGACTTTTGGTCTATTCTGGGAAATGTTTGTGGAAGTCTTAATCATAGACTGTCAGGTAACAATCTTTCACAACCGACGCAAAAACACAATAGAAAGGTGACTCATCTGTTGATCCAGTTTCAGGTTTCTGTAATGTAATTTTCGGTAATGCCATCAGGTTTTTCCCAGGTAAAAAATGAAATGAAAATGATTGGGCTCAACCAATGGGAATATGAATATACTACAGAACTACAATATATTTAAATGAAATAAAAGAGTAAAAAACTGTTGTCAGTTCCTGCCAGCATTGTATTTTGTCTGTATGATAAATGGGGGGAATCTGGCCACAGGATGTTTTTGGCGGAGCAGGCAGAGATGTAGCTCTGTGCACTTCCCTGATGCAATCAACACAAATCTACTGGCATTGTACAGTGTTCTATGTAAATGTGTACAGCTTTAGATGGTGTTTATCAAACGTCAAGCTGATGTCAGCCAGCCACCAGCACAAGCTACCTGTTTATGCTCCTGTGCCTGTGCAATGAGTATTTCCTCACGTATGCCAGCCTGATTGTGACTTACTGAGCCATTTGTCTCACACTGGAAAAGCAGGTTTTCTTTTCGTTTTGCAGCATGCTTTTTCACTAAATTACTTGCTGCAAAACAGATGTACAGTACAGTATGTGATCAGTTAGTGTCATTTGAATAAATGTCCCCTGTTGTGACATAATGTGTACTTTAAAGAAGCACTTCACCCGTGGAAACATTAATCTTTATTGAAAGTGGGTTATATATGTAGTCGAAATGTAACATAAATTTTGAATTTGGTGCTCCTCTACAAAGAATATGAGACTTCCTGCTTCCAGTGATGCCCAAAATGACGATTTTTACATCATTGGAAGCATGGGAAGGTGCAACACTGAAATCCGGTATTTCTCCCGTGCTCAGAGGTAGGAGAAGAAATGATGGGTGAAGTGTCCCTTTAAAGTACATTACCTCTACCTTAAACTAAACTAAACTAGCAACTATAAGGCAACACAACACGGTTTTAGGGCTTGTGCATAGTTGTGTTCATTCATAGTTCCTTGATAGTAATATTCATCTTCCTCCGTACAGGACTCAGACTTTGAGGAAGATGTGGACGTGGAGGAGCTCGAGTCTGGAGAGCTGTCCAGCTCAGACACAGAGGACGATATGGTTGAGGAGGTGAGGAAGAGCGAGCGCCTCTTTCTGCAGGAGGCAGGGGTAACGTCGTGCCAGCGCTGGCCAAAACCTGTCCCAGCACCCGAGCCAGCATCCATGAAGTTTGACAACCGCAGCGAGTTCGAGCAGATGACCATCCTGTATGACATCTGGAACTCCGGTCTGGACGGCGAAGACTTGATGTTACTGAAGAAGACCTATGAGAAGCTACTACAGGACGACCACAGCTCTGACTGGCTTAATGATACTCACTGGGTCAGCCACACTAATATCCTTTTCAATGAGCTGATGCGTTAAATACAGTAGGTCTGTGTGATTGTTATGGAAATTAACCCCGGTTACCAATGGCCAAACCATCTATGGCTGTTCTCAATCAATAAGTAGCCTACGTAATACATTTTTTTAATGGATACAATTGTGGATTATGGATAAAAGTGTTATCAATCAGACTTTATTGGTATAGCAGTTTTCATACAAGCAAAGTGTCTTCATATGAGTCTGTGGTTTCCTGCTATTGTCCTTGACCTTTGAGCTGCACTAACCAATTTGCCGAACCCCCGGCGTAAGAAGAAGAACGCAGGTGGGCAGCTTCGTGAGCATGTGACCGGTAGTGCCAGGAGTGAGGGCTACTACGCCATTAGCCGCAAGGAGAAGGACGTCTATCTGGACCTGGACCTGCCCGAGCAAGTCATACGAGAGGTGGAGAATGTCGACAGCTCGGTAAGCATCCTGATTTCATTCAGACTCCTTTTGTCTCTGTGTTATAAGAATTACTTATTATATATTTTTCTTTTGCTTTACCACCATTATTATTCATCTGTTTATTTTTCTAATAATTTTTCTTTAAAATATAAGGCTGTTTACATCTGTTCTACATTATTAATCTACCAAACTAAATTAAAGTAATGAAGATACAGTAGATGGCTTTTGAAACAATGAGAGAATAGTCTTAACTATAAAAAAGAAGAGCTTAACAAATACTCCTCTTGTTTGCTCTGCCCATTTCTTACTAGGGACTCTAAAACTAGCATCAGGCTGAGGTACCTGGACTCAGCGTGTTATTAATGTTCACCATTAATGTTAATAATAAAATATTGAGAGGACAGGATAAAATGCAGCCAAGGGGTTGAACCTGTAAAAGTAGTGAGACAAGCTTACCGGTATGTTTACCTAATTAAAACCCACCAGTGAGATTTAAAATGTTAAATAGTTGCTGTGTTAATAATGTGGGTTTTGTTGTTTTTGAAAGTTGAGGCAAAAAGTTCACAAAAATCCAAATATGGTCCCAAATGACCATTCTGTGGAAAGAATGATATTGTCCAACTCTGTGCTGGCGCTGTAAACAAACCTTAAGGGGGTCTAGTGGTTGCTGAATATGGTTATTGTAGTTGGTTAAATCTGACACTTGATAGTACAGTTGGCCTACAGTCAATTGGCTCAGACTCACAGACTGATAATAGATCCAAAGGGTGGAGGCTTTTTCAAATAGCTGATGAGCACAAAATTATTTTTTACCATTTGTGTCACCATTAGGCAATACAGTAACTGGTTTAACAAAGCACATTTCATCAGATACAAAAAGGGTCTTATATATTGTATTATATTCTGTATATTGCCTCCAATCTGTAACACTATACAGATTAGATTAAGTTTTCCTAAAAACACATATTAGCAACTTTCTGAAATGGACTCGACCACTGTGCAACCCTTAAATGGAGATTTTGAGATGGTTAAACAGTATGAGTACAAGTATCTAGAAAAGCTGGTATGCTATCTTTAATTAACTTTAATCTAAAATGTCAAGTATAGACTCAGATTAAAACCTGTTTTGTGAAGAGCTGTGTGCTGCATCTCTGCCAGAAATGATGTTATTTAAATAGTTTAACAACTTTAACCATTGCTTTAAAACCTCAAACCCATTGCGACATGTGCATGCCACGTGCTTTGTGTATGTGGAATTTGTCATTCTCTCCTTCTCTAACTCACGTGGCTTTCTTTTTTTATCCTTCCAACCTTCCTAAAGCCATTTTTGGTCTGCTGTCACTCATAATGTTTTGGTTTCTCAGCATTTTTTAAGTCAAAAATGTTCCTCTTGTGTCATTTTTGGAGTTGAGGTTTGTTGGGTCACATAAGGAGTGACAGCCTCCGTATGACAAACACATCATGAACATCCCGTGTTGTGTCAGTTATTATTTACACGCTGCCAGATTATTGTTCAGAAAGGTAGGCACTAGAGGATATCCCCTTTTTTACCACCAATACGAGTTGTTTAATATTGAATATCTAACCTCTAAATGTTGTTTAGAAGAGCCGATCAGCTGACGCATTAATTATTTTCCATACAAATATTATTCAGTCATTGACTCGGTATATTAACAGTCAAGGACTTGTTTTAGTATTTTACATAGAAGCTTATCAGATGGATGACAAGCACAGAGTAGGTAAACTGTTTAGTTTCCGATAATAAACATCATTAACGAGCCTCATCTACTCGTTGCTGTTTTAAACCACTGCTGACCCACAAAGAAACAGATGAGACACATGCAGCCTGTATATGGAGAGAGTAGTATGGAGCCAATATTGGAGCAAATACTTTCCAGCCATTAATATGTAGGTCCACACATTTCCAGATCCTTTTACGGATATGTCTACATATTTATAAATCTCAAAGCATTTTTACACATTTATAAATCTGATTACACACACAAATGGATTTAGATACAGTTACACAACCAGAATCAGCAGTATCCAGTTGATACTGTTGATTCTGGTTCAGGCAAAGGCTGCACCAAGATAGTGACAAGGCCGGTAAGGTTACAGAGAGGGTTCGTTATTTTATAGCTTTGTTATTGTAAAACGATTAGAGATTACGTTGTTAAATGATCCTTATTAGTGTTGTGCCGCAGGGGGAGCTTCAGCCCAGCAAAGTGGAGAGGCAGACAGTGGCGAGTTGAAACCGAATGCGCTGCTTGTGCTGCTGTGCATGAAAGCATTGCAAGTAAAACATCTGTGTGACAGCTGAGGTAAAGCAAAGGACTGGATGGCCTCTATATAGCTTTATATAGCCGGTACCGATGAGTTTATGATGACGATCGGGACATCCCAAGTAAGCACACGTAGGCATAGAGGTAATGAACAAAGAGCTGCTGACATTAAGCGTTTGTGTGGATTTTAAAGGGGAAATCAACACAATTGTCTTGCATTCCTTCCTTTCTACTCATAGCTTAGATTTTCCTAGAAGTGATGTTTCCATTCTGGTTCTGTGCTGTATCTACTGTCACCATGGAGAAAAGCAGAAGAAAAGGAAAACCTTTTTTTTTTTTTTATATTGAGGGAACACACATTTTAGTTTCGGCTCTTTGTTTGTATGTAACCTCAGTGTTTTTGGAGATACAGTATCCCTGACTCGGTGCAAAATAAGTTGTAACTGGATACCACATCAGCCAGCGTCTTTGTTGTCCTGATCTAAGTAGCCCAGCAATTTTGAGCCACTTTTCTGAGAACAGTCTGAAACCTGTCCCAGGTGCACAGTGCGATGTGGTTTGATCTGCCTGGTGGTCTGTCTGTGGAGGTGTAAACAGCGGACATATTTTCAAAGCACAGACTGATCTTTTCTTCACAAAGAGTACAAATTATATGTTATCATAGCGCTTAATTTTTTTAATTATACAGCTGCTCAGTTTTGCAATTACGAACCCTTCATCCTGTCAGAGCTTAAACAATCATTGACTACACATCACACATTTGTAAGGAAAAATAGATATGTAAAATAACAGAAAGAGCCTGCGTTATCTTGAAAATGTGACATGAAATAAAGCAAAAATAGCAGGTTTAGGAGGACCAAAACGTAGTTTTTGAAATAATGTGCTTGAAAAGTTTACAGCCTTGACACAAATCCCACATGAGCCACGTGTGTGTGATGGCTACCTCACTGAACTGCTGCCTATCCCGCTGCGATGCTGCTGCCAGCTCTGTCTTTCTGCATTGAGTTTACCTTTGATGAATACAAGACAATAAAAGCCTTGTCAACAAATGAATGGATTCTGTCCACAGAAACGCTGGAGAGCTTTTAATCTGAAACAGATGGTTAAAAAAAATTATATTAGTTATTTAATGTCTGAGATATTCTACAGATTCAAACATTGCGAATGTAGTGAAAGGTGTATATGTTGCTATGTTAATATGACTTTGAACAGACCCATTTCATACATTCAGGCTTTCTTCATGACCCATACAGTTTGGCTGTTAAACAGTGTTCGCTACAACTTATGTTCCCTTTTATCTTTTACATCTGGATTTGATTGTTTTCAGTGCTCTGTTTACTTTATATCAAGTACAAGAAACACAATCAGAGCCTTCAGAATTCATGTCCTGCATTAGTTGGTTACGTAATGTTTCATAATGGTCTGTGTGCATTGACGACATGGTTGTGTCTATATTTATATTAGCATACATTGTAGACAGGGAAGAGAAACTTGCCTGCGTCCTTCCTCTTACTACGTTTTCACAGTTTGACCTTCCTTTTCAAATGCACCTCACCCACATTATCTTGGCTGTTAAACATTAAAAACACTAAGTGTTTCTTCGGTTCAGTCTCCTCCAGCTCAAGGCCATATGATAACGTGCGATAGTGGCCCTTTGTGAAGCTCTTGGCTGTCTGTTTCTTTCCAGGGAGCAAACAGGGTCCTATCAGAGAGACGATCAGAACAGCGCCGCCTCCTCACCGTCATTGGCACCACTGCTGTCATGGACTCTGACCTGCTCAAACTCAACCAGCTGAAGGTACATCCAGTTACAGCCATGGTATCTCATGTACCAAATCAAGTACATGCACATTGTACAGCTAAAGTTTTGTTTTTGTTTTTCTGAAAAAAAGATGAAATCATATTTCAGCATTTAAACCTACATCACACCATATCACTGAACTGTAGATTACAGAGATGTAGTTCAGGCTGTTATGTCACTGCCTTTGGCTAGCACTTTATCTCATTTTATTCAGTTCTTTTTCTCTTTGTTGAGCAAACATTACTATCTCCTCTAGCTGCCATTATAAAATGTGTTTATCCAGCTAATTTGATTAGCTTAATTCTCCTGCTTTCAGTCCAAAGCCAACTCTGTGTTTAACACACTGACATGAAATGAGTCGCCTAAATATGCAAAGAATTAAATTAGCATTTCCTGCTTACGTGTACATCTACATGTTCCTTGTACGAGGCTGGATTTGAATAAAAACTCAAAGTATATATTTGTCCTGGTCTATATGCGTTGTACTTTCTTTTTTTTTTACCAAGACCATTGTTACAAAAAGTGTTTTCTGTCCTTGTGCAGTACCGCAAGAAGAAGCTTCGTTTTGGACGCAGCCGGATCCACGAGTGGGGCCTGTTCGCCATGGAGCCCATTGCTGCTGATGAGATGGTCATCGAGTATGTGGGTCAAAACATCAGACAGGTACTGTCTCCAGTTTGTGTTAATCTGTGTTGAATCAGTGATGATTTTAAAGCAATATCTTCAAAACATCCCATCCAGTCACTATATTGTCCTAATATTATCTGTTTTAGTGGAATGATTATAGAAGTTTCCATTATTCCATTATTGGTGTTTTATAATATAAAGCACAGTAAATACGACAGTGAGTGAAATGTTACTCATGCACTTTTGTAGATACCTGTTTGTTGTGGTGTTGACATAGGGTCACTGAGCAAATGTTTGTGCGTGCAGATGGTGGCTGACAATCGAGAGAAGCGGTACGCACAGCAGGGCATCGGGAGCAGCTACTTGTTCAGAGTGGACCACGACACAATTATAGACGCCACCAAGTGTGGCAACCTGGCACGATTCATCAACCACTGCTGCACTGTGAGTCTGAAAAGCATTAGTCAACACATATGAGTGATAGATAACAGGCTTTTATTGTAATTTAGTTCTGGGGCTGTTGCTCATCACTCTCTCTCTCTCTCTTTCTCATTGCTTTGTTCTTCTAGCCAAACTGTTACGCCAAGGTTATCACCATAGAGTCCCAGAAAAAGATCGTGATCTACTCAAAGCAGGCCATCGCTGTCAACGAAGAAATCACCTACGACTACAAATTCCCCCTCGAGGAGAACAAGATTCCTTGCCTGTGTGGAACGGAGAACTGCCGCGGGACACTGAATTAGTTTCTCTTCCCTACTTTGCAACGGCCAGCCAAATACGGTCTCCCCCGGTTCACCCTCCTCAGAGTGTACCCAGAAAACAAAGCGGCTTTCCAATACCCCCTGCCACTCCAAAAGACCACACAGCTGTCCTCACAATACCCAGGAAACAGACACACACACTTGCACTTTTCATGCACATTTTCAGTCACTTAGCAGTTTTACGAGCCAGTGTGTGTGAGGGGTTTGTGTTACAAGGCATGTGAAAACTATGAGGGCGTGGGGGGGTGCTTTGTTTCACCATTAGCTCTCCTGTGGCAGTATTGTCGGACTATTGTTGGCATGAAAGGTCTCTCAATTTCCACCCTAGTATCCGTTTGAAGGAAGTCAATGAAAACTGAAAAACACTGGTATTTTATGTCTACGTCAGCTCACATAATCTACAGCCTGGATCACTTTTCCAGTGTCCAGTCCCTCGCTGCACCCACCAACCCATCCACACAGGTCCGCACATAGACGCACAGGAATATCAGACAAATTCAGGGTTTTTAAAAAGCGCTTGTTAAGGGCGCACTTTTAAAGATGACAAACTTCAATCAATTTGGTCTTCAGTTATGCAAGATTTCAAGTGTGAAGATTCTTTTTTTTTTTTTTTTATTTCATTTCATAGTATTATATATTAATATTACTATTGCTGTTATTAATGGTATTTAGTTGCATTAGCTGTAAGCATCTTACAGTGAAATGAGTTTCTGTATACCCACCCACTGTCCTTAGTGGCTTGTGTTCACTAGCCCTGTTATTCCCCTTCTCCACCGTGCAATTTGCCACAACCCTCTGTTGGGATGAGAGTCCTTTGAGCTATTGTTTTTAACCCACCATGAAAATATTTGTCAGTTTGGTTAGCTAAAAGTGTTAATTTTACATGGCTGCTGAATTTTTGTCTGCAGGATCAGCACAACAGAGAATTGGCTTGTTTTTTTTTTCCCCCACTTCAAAGCTGTCAACAAGATGTCTTCTTAGGATAACTCTGCAAGTGTTTGTTCAATAGGATCTCTCAGCCTGTTTGTCTGTTTAGTTTGTCTGTAAACTTCCATAGTGTTCCTGTATTTTGTTACAACCAGCAAATGGCAGATTCCTATTTCAACACTTGGCGAACTGCAAGTCCTTCTTTCTTCAGCCGTTAAAACAGATTATCAGAAATCTCCTGCAGGTCCACGTAAAAATGATGCGGTCAGTGTTCAACTTAGTCTGTGTGCTGCAAATGTTTTTAAAAGCCGCATTTATTTGATTAGATCAGGTCTCTTCAGAGGTTTAGTTTAGTAAAGTTTCTTCTTTTTGTTTTTTTCCTGTTTTGTGGGCCTTTTCCAGAATGCATTAGTATCTATTTTATTTGAGTGTGGAGTCACTCACACTCAACAATCCCTCCCTGAAACATTTTTCATTTTAAGGCAAACAAATGTCCTGCGTACAATTTGTTGGCAGTGTAGATGGGTGGAAGGGGAGGTATAATATATATATAAGCCTCAGCAGGTTTGTGATATGCTGCAGACAGCAGGATGTATATGGCCCTTGTGTTGTGTTTCTGTTTTTCATATGGCTATGGCCGTCCAAAGTTGAACTTTAATTCTAAACTTTTAATTAGCAGAAGACTCTTTATTTTGTTCCCTCCTAAACAGGAAAATGTGTAAGATATTTTTTGTTGCAATGAAAGCCTTTCAGTACAAACCAACCCTCTTTACTACAGGATAAAAAGATGAAAGGAAAAAAAAATCAAAGAAGTACATGTAAATATTGTAGAGGTGTTTGTTTCTCGTAGAAACACACTGATTTCAAGCTGTAAATATGTTGTTCCTTTTCCTCTCTCCATGAGGAGGAAACATGTACATACCTTCCATTCATTTATTTTTTATTGTTTTTCCTTTTAATTTGATGATTATTTTAATATTATTTGCAATATTTCTCTTGTATTAATGCGTTGGACCCTTTATTAATGGTGCATTAAAATATTTTTTAAATAAACAAAATGTTGTTTTTCAATAAATTTGTATCCTACTGCTATTAGAAACACTGAGGTTCAGCCAGTGTCAATTAGGTTCTCAAACTGGGCTCCAGGGACCAGCGAGGATCCATGAGTGAGTTGTAGGGGGTCTCTACGAAAAGATGGAATAGAATATTTTAACTTTTATCACATATTTTGGAAGTTGGAACAAGGAAAGAAATAGGGTTGGGCATTTTGATTGGTTGTAATTTAAAGTGATCGTAGTTTGATCATTGATTGAACCTAATAAAAACTTTAAATGTTAAACAGTGGGAGGTTTTTACATGCCGGATAGAGAATAAATAATGAATAGCTGATTAAATGTGGTATTTCAACAGGAAGCTTACGTAGTGGAAACGACACTCCTATTTCCTCTTTGCACCTGCAACATTGATGTTTCCTGTTTAGAGAAATGTAGAGGAAGTTCTGAAATCTGCCCAACTAACACTACGATTTTATAAGTCACCAGAGGCTGACAGAAAAGGAAGAGCTGCTAAAGCTCACAGTGCAGATGGTGAACTGAGTTGAAAAATCAGTGTACATCTGGCTGACCAACATCAAACAAGCCTTTGTCCTGTACATCAGTTAAAATAAGCTTGACTGGTGCACCTACTAACAGCACTCAGCTGGGGAAACTGTAAGCTATGATTTTCCTTTGAGTCACAAGAAGACTGGCTGAAACTGGAAATGGCAGGATATTGCTTGCTGGTGTGTGGTCACGTTTCAAGCCATAGTGCTTGAATTCCACAGTTAACAACATGTCATTGCCCTGTTGTGAAGAACCCTTGAACTAATCTAGATGAAACTCTGACCTCATATGGTGTGTGTTACAACACTCCACCTGGATGGCTCATATAAACCGAGGTTTTACGTAATCAAACAGTCAACAAATATATTGAATAAACAATGAGTGAAACCCAAAACCATGAAACAAAGTCTACTTCACTATGACTCTGCTGCAGGCTGGAAAGTGGAACAGTGAGAGTGTGGGAGGTGGAGGAAGGCGGTTCGTGTGCCCCTAATTGGATAGGAGTTGGTTGTCTGTGGGTATTTTTACCAAAATAATTCTAATTTTCAGAAAACACACCCGCCCATCCCTAGTCGAGTTGCATTGTGGGTAATGTAGGCACTGGACAAGAAAGTAAAATGTGCAACAATACCTCTGGTTTCTTTTTTTCTATTTATCATTAGTCCAAGAATGTTATGGGAGTGCAATGCTAAACCACAAACACTTGATGCTATGATTGCAATGCAATGATACATGAAGAAAGTCTGAGTTCTTAAAACATTGACATGGTCTGTTAAAAAAAAGGGTTCAGGAACTTTGAAAAACAGCTTTGTTTTTAATCTCAATCACATTGTTTTTGCAGCGAATAATATACAGGCCAAAAATCAACATGGAAACTTAACATCACTGTTAATCATCATGTTGACCTGCTTTTGTTTTAGATGACGCAGTAAAAAGGACCTTTCGCCAGTTTTCCTCATATGCGTAACCTCCAAATGGCAGTAAAGGCCTTGTCAGAGGGAATTTGGCCAAAGTTCAAGGACCAGCAGTAATCTATAAACTATGGGTTTATATCAGATACTACATCGTTTAACCAGCAGATGCATTCATCAGTCAAGACTGGATGTATACAGTTAAAGACAATACCAGATTGGGTTGTAAAGATCATATTATACAGGATTTTTAAACCATGGGGCTTCTCAAGTCCCAACAGATGATATATTATGCAAAGTTGTGCATTAAGAGCACATTAAAGCACATAACACAGTAGATGTTTAATTATTTATTTTTATTTATTTATTTGATGGGAACAGAGCACATTAATGAATATCAATATAAAAAGAAAACATGTAAACATGCCAGAGTTGGTGCTAACATGCTAATCATACCCGTAGTCCCCAGACAGGTAACAAGAAACATTACAAATGACAATATACAGATACACATACACATTATTAATACGCAAGTAGAAAAGGACAGAAAACCATATGTTAAAAGTGATCATGTGAAGAGCTGCTCCCTGGTTCTTCACTTCTAACTGTGGGTTCACAAAAACATGCATTTTTAAAGATTTTACTCTTTATTAATGGTTATAATTTCAATTCAATTTTGAGCACTTATCTTCTTGGAAAAGGTCTGAAAAAAGTCTTTATTAATGATTTATAACTGCTGACTTAATTGCCCATTAAGAGCTCATGGCAATTTATTAATGGACTACAACATTTATAATATAATATAACATAATATTATGTATATTATATTATATAATATTAAAGCCAGGAGTTACAGTATGTCTTATTAGAAAGTGGTATTGTTCTTATGATAACTAAAGTGTGTTTGGTATCTGGTTGCATTTGTCCTTGTTTTGTAAAACCCTTTTTTAATGGTAAATTAAGTAAAGTATTACTAGTATTTATTAATGCTCATGTTATTATAATGTCCCTGATATATGATACATCGTAAGTGTATCTTTTGTTTTGTCTAGCTCAATAAAGTTTCAGATGGAAAAAAAGAGAAAAAAAAACCTTCCCTCTCCTTTAAATAGCCTGAGCTGCAGTGCAGGCTCTGTATTCTCACTGAGCAGTGAGACACTTCACCGGGTTCAGCTGCTTCACGTTTCCCCTCACAGCATTATGTCAGACAGCCAGCGGGGTCTCGTCTATCTGATCACCGGAGGCTCCGGATTCCTCGGGAGGCACCTGCTGAGGGTTTTGCAGGAGAAGGAAGACAAACTGGCGGAAGTCCGTGTGTTTGACAAATACCCCGACTCAAGTTTAAATGCACTCAGCACAGGTAAGGTTCAGCTGCACCGCTCTGTGTGGTTTTCTGTTATTCTGATATAAACGTTTAATGATTAGATAAGGTATGTTTAAAGTTCATAGTCTGTTCTTCACTTCGGCATTAATATGATCGAGTATGGAGCTCTTGCTTTAGTTTGATTTCTGCCATTATACCTGGAATTTCTGCTTCAAGGACACCGCATTATCTCAGACAAATATTACACGTCTTTTAAAAACATGAATGCTTCCTCATTTGTGGTATAATGTCAATGTTTTCTTCAGTGCTCAATGTATGGTTTCTCCCTGCAGTATTTCTCTTTTTGACATAAAGTATGTAAGACTTTAGTTCACTTTGATACTGATAACCCTCCCTTTGATAAAGCATATGGATCTGGTAGTTGACTGGAGTTCCCTTCACTGAACATGGTGTAACTCATGAAGGCGCGTTTATTTGATCTTAGCAAGGAAGTAACAAAAAAAACTTGTCAAGGGGTGTAAATAATATGTGTAACATACATATTTAAAATGTTCTGTTAGGTTTCAGTCCTGTGAGAGGAGGTGATGGTGTTTTTCAGTTCAGCTAAACTCAGGAAAAGGGGGGGAGAAAGCCCCCCACAGAGGTCAATATGCAGAGATAACTGGGCGTTGGATCCGGGATAGCTTGTTCCCTTTCATATCCTGTGCCAGGATATATGCTGTAACTTGTCACTGTGTCGTTTCACATGATAACATGATACAGGTTTGTTAGGTCTTTCCATGGAAGCTTTGATCTGAGGTGGTTCCAAACTACCTGTCGTTTCTGTTGCACTTTGTCTTTACTTCGTGGGAAAAAAACTAATTAATTGAAAGTGGAACAGGTTTTTTTCTTGGTGAAAAGGCATGTTATAAGTTCCATCTGTGCCGGGAATGCACCGTGAACCACAAATGGCACCTTTGTCCCACAGTGGAAAGTGCTTTGTTCAGCTTTCGTCATTTATTGTGTGTCTATGACTGAGGTCTACTGTTGATGCAGGGCAGTTCAGATCCCTGAGGGATCAGCTAACAGGAATAAATGAGTTCAGCCTCAGTAACACCCATTATAGGCCTCACAGGAAAATGGGACGTTGACTTGTGCAAGGTTCCATTTTGGTTGATGTTGAAGCTGATTTAAATTAGCCAAATCCTCTGTAACTAAACCTCTGTGTAATAAGTATAATTACAGATGGGAAAACAAACTTCAGAAGGAGAGTCTTAACTCAATGTTCAAAAGTCCAATCCCTTTTTTCTAATCCCTCATTTTAAGGACACTATCTCATTGTCAAACCACCATTTTAAGGAGAGTGCTGAGGAGGAGTCAAGATAAACCACAATTGCAAGACCTTCATAAATTATGATGACAATAAACAGTGTTGCCTGAATTTAGAACAGTATGAAAAGAATTTGGGGCGTGATGATGATATGATATATTGTGTCATAACACAGATGCTTTTAGTTGTTTCTCAGTTGAATTTCCAATAAATTTGAATTATTACAATGAACAAAATGAACTATTGGTTGGTTAGTTGGTGAAGAAAGGCGGTGCTGTCCTGAGGTGTTGTAATAATTTTCTTAACAAAGTGAGTCCATTCTTATATTTGCATGCTTTCGTAGTGTACTTAGGAAAACAGCCCTGGTCCAGAATCTCATACAGTACATCATTTTGACTCTGTCTTCTTGTTTCTCCCTCAGAGCGGACAAAAGTTGTGGTCATTCAGGGGGACATCACAGACTACAACAGTGTATTGGAGGCTTCGCGCGGTGTCGATGTCGTCATTCACACGGCAAGCTTGGTGGATGTTTGGCACCGAGTCCCGGAGACCCTCATCTACTCCGTCAATGTCACAGGTTAGATTTCAAGGAGTGGTGTTTAAAAAGAAAAAGGGCCAGGCAGGAAACATCAGTGGGTGTTTTCAGCTTTATGAATGTTTTTCTGGGAAACAAAAAAAGACAAATTAAACAGAGGAAACCCACACCTCCTTTTCAAGGACTTTGTGGCCATGAGTTATGCTGAACAATAAGAAAATATTCTAATTCTGTAGCTTACTTCACTTACTTAGTGGTCATGAGCTGCATGTTAGTGACTAAGGAAACATCATAATTTGATGAAACTAAAAAATGTTTATTAAATTTAAGCCAAACTAATCCAGATACAGCCTGAGGAACACTTTTCACATGAATAGAGTACGTGATGAAAATAGTCTACATACTCATGTCATGGTCTGGGTTTATGTCCATGGGTTGTGGTGAGGCAAGGGTCAAAGTCTGGCCTGGAATAGTCCGCAATAGTTCAGCAAGTAAACAAGAGGCAGTCTTCATGTTAGTTGAGAGTCATCTGTAGGCGTGTAGTCTCTCCAAAAGCCCCACAACAGACCTCTAACAGTTGAATTGAATGAATGACTAACTCATATTTGTCCGGAATCTGGATCTGGTCTGGTTAACATTATTATGTTAAGTTTTGATGGGCCAGAAGGATCCATCTGAAGTCATCACATCTAAAGCGGTTAACGCCTCAAATCAACACCCTTTTTTCTTCAGAGACAAAATCTTTGTCTTATTCACAGAATTAGCAAGAATTGCAGGTAGGTGCGTGACAGTTAACTAAGTATAAGAGTTGAGAACATTATACTGTATCTAAACACCGGTTTCCAGTAAGAATTTATGTACAGATGTCAAAGGCTTTGTGTTTTCTGGTCTTCAGCTTGAGTACATACCAGATATTTAAACCCTGGCGTCAGTGCCAGAGCCATCAAGCACTGGAGTGCACTTGAAAACGTCTACTTAAGAAGCGCTTTTAATAGCTGCAGTTGGCCAATTAATTATATCTGATGTTGCTTTTTAGCTTTAGTGAACACAGCTTTTTTGATTTGCTTTTGGGTAGTTGGAATGTATTTTTGCCCTGAGGGGAAATTTGCTTGATTTTTAGCCGTGCTAGCAGCAAGGACATTTATTTCAATGAACAGACATTAATAATCCACAGAGGACGAATCCTGGTGACTTTGACCTGTGACAGAAAAAGTCACCAAAGTGTCCCCTCATCTAGTTAATGTACTACTATGTACTGTGCTAGATACACTGCCATGAAATACATATTAATATCTCCATTAAGAGTTAGCTAATGTTAGCACTAAAGTAAGATGAACATAGTTATACCTGCATAACATTGGCATGTTAACATTGTCATTGGGAGCATGTTTTTGTCGAACAAAAACTTCTATTTTCATGATTTTCTTTATAGGTGTGGATGTTTGTTTTCTGTCTGTCTGTTTGAAACGCCCAAAATTGGAGGCATCATCTGTTTTCTCACTGCTGCTGCATAGCTAAGATAGGAAGTTCAAGCGTAAACAGGAATTATCATACTTAAAACAGCTTTTAGCCCACAGTCATAAGGACTTCTTTTCATCCACTGCCAAACTGGACCAGATGTAAGTTCACAGCCTGTGGACTGTGTCCTCTCCTCTACTTCATCTATGACCAAAGTTTGACTTCAGGACACCTAACTTCTAAAGTCTCAATGTGGAAAACTGGAAAGACCGTTTAAAAGTGTTAGATATAATAAGAGGTCTTATTTCCTCCACTTTCCAGTGATTATATTTCTTTCTGCCGTACGGTCACAGTTGTATTAATTGAGACCAGGTTTTAGAAAAACATGTTTTCTTCCTCTTGGCTAAACAGAACACATATGGATCTCATGGCTCCACTTGAAATTATTTCCTGTTTGTTGTCTCACGTTAAAACTGCAATTTCAAGACTTTCATCCTCTACAGTATGTTACAGTGTTTATTGGTTGCCTCAGCTCTGAAAGCACACTGAAAAAAGTCCAACTGTGTCAAAATAAGCCATGTGGCTTCGGAGGATTGAGAAACGTATGTGTTACACAGAAGAATGCAGCCTGCTCCGTTCTACCCCGACATTCTCATCTCTAAAATGACAATGTTTTCTTTCTTCTCAGGAACTGAGAATGTGATAAATGCCTGTGTGGAGTGTGGCATCCAGTCCCTGGTCTACACCAGCAGCATGGAAGTGATCGGCCCCAACATCAATGGAGATGCATTTATCAGGTGAAGCTCGAAAATATTATTCTGTGGACTTTGTTTGTGAACTCTGTTGACCAGGTGACCCATTGTCCAAGTCCTAGTGCTCCATTTTGAGAATTTCTCTTTCAGCTGCGTTACTGTGGTCACTATCTCGTATCTATTCTCTTTTCTTCTCTTGAATGAGCAGTCAGGGAAAGCACAGGGACATGCACAGAAAAGATATGATTGGGTGGAGACACAACCCACAGTATCCAGTAACATAAAGATCTAATCAAGGTGTTTTTTAAGTTCTTTAGGAAGAAAGGTATCTGGAATGAAAAAGACACAAAACAGGACACATTGCTCACATTGAGACACATTTTATCTTTACTGATATGATACTATGTTCTGTATCATGTCTGCAGCTTTAACTCCTGACCTCACATTAGGTAAAAATAGGCCTGGTGTTCTGTGTCAGTTTCGTATCAAATCTTATTCACGCTTAAGTAAATGTTTATGTGCAAGGGTCTACTTTTTTCTGAAATGTGAAATCTCATATGTTACTGGTGAACTGTTGACAAAAAACGAGTGGGGATGGAATTTTAGCAATCGTGAATGTTTATATTCTCAATCTGTCAAAAAGGCGATAACCGCTGTTTTTAATATTTGGAATACTGTTTCTAAACATTGATGCTGTCTCCAAGGATGTCTCCACCATTCAAGAGAGACTATCCTCCAGAATAATATTGGACTATTTTGGGACAGGGATGCACATAAATGATAATGAAACTGTTGTGCTTGGATATATAACATAAATAAACAGAGATGACGAAGTCAGAGAGTGGCATGTGAGTCATACCTACGCTCTACACTCTGTCTCTAAGCACTGTGTTTATTTACTATAACCATAGGGAGTGGTGTGGCACTCACTGTGAGACTACTTGCAGAGATGCATTTAAATAAATGTAGCATATACACACAAGTTATGTTAGTTAATAATAACAATACAAACATTAATGATCTTTACTGGTCTCAAACTATTTTTTTTGTCACTGAAAGTTGAAAGCTTTCACGCTGTATGGACATAAACAGAAGTCAATGGCTGTCTGGAAAGTGGACAGCAATCAAAACACACTGAAATATCTAAAATGCTGCAGTTTCATATATCAGAATATACATGGTTAGCAGTGATTGGACAAAAACAGCAGTATGACCCTTTACAAAGGGTGAAAGATGTGGAGATACCAAAAGCAGGAGATGGAAAATACTGCAAACTTCCAGTGTCCATTTGCCAGAAGGTTGTAACATTCTTCTGGATGGTGTGTGTGTGTCTGTGTGT